CACACACACACACACACACACACACACACACAGCTGAGGGAGAGCGCAGGATGTGAAGCAACACTCCAACTCTCCTTATCTGTATAATTTGGTGCCAAATGATTAAAAATATTGAGACATTCCACTGAATAACTGAAAAGTTTGACTAGCTGGTGACCGGACAGGAAAAGTCAGAGGAACACCGACGTCACTAACACTGATCTTCTGCTGAGCCTAAATATCTGGAACAAATCCATCAGGCTGAGGTTTTGCTGCCTGGACCAACGTTCTCTCTTGTCTAACGCAGTGTCAGTACTGACTGAAAGTAATGTCAGAGCACTCAGACATGTCAGTATCCAGCTAATAACTTGAGTCTTAGTGCCACAAAAACAGCTAAAAAGAAAGTAATATCAGATCTACTGGAGTCATAGTACAATGGTGATTCAGTCTGAACAGGTCATATGAACATTGTGTCCATGACAAACTGTGACTGTACCTGTTCTCAGCAGAGAGCTTTTCCCATAGTCAACATACATCTTCAGCCACTCAGGGAAAATCCCAGTGAGGTACTCCTTATTGAGTTCTATGCGAACTTTGTTAGCGTCCCATCTCAGTTTGGTGATGACAGCCTGAGGTTTGGAAGCGATCCATCTCTGCGTCTTCAGGTCAAATGCTAGGAAGTCTTCTCCATTATAACCATACTGAGCAAAACCCTTAATCTCTCCAGTCTCTTCATCCCGTTCACAGCCAGTCATGCTCTGTAAAACATGGACACCTGAGAGAGAGAGAGAGAAAGAGGCAACAGAGACTGCAGTTAACAGTGATGTTTAGATACTGATGGTGATGATTGTCTTGCATCCTGTACACATCAAACTATTATATAAACATCTAATAAAGGCAAAACATTAGAAAACAAAAACTGTGGGACAAATGTAACCTTGGATGCAGTCCTAGGTTCCAGTGACCTTATCCAGGATTTGACAGAATCATAATTATTGCATTGTGTTTGATTAGTAACTGGGCAAAGTGGGCAGGCTGCATGGCCACGGGAAGTAGGGGGCTGACCCCTACCTCTGAATGGCTGAAAATGTTATCTAATTGTCATATTTTATATTGTGTGACAGACTGTGCAGCGCTCTGATTTTACCTGCTGTCAGTGATGCCTGTAAAATGACTGATCAGGACATGTGTAGAATATTTATTATCGTGGCTCATGAGCTGATTGTGTTATTTTGTGTGACTTTGTGTGTGGATTTTCTGTCAGATCGGTGAGTCTCGAGGACCCCCTCAGCTCAGCAGCTCTCCTCAGTGCCCTCATAGCAACTTTCCACACAATGACAGGTGAATCATACAACAAATCATAAATTATTAAACATTTGAGACCAAATTAAAATAATAACAATGATATTCGGCTATACAGTAAGAATAAACTGAAACCAGTAAGAGGCTCGTACATGGTGTGCCAAACCTCCATGCCAGTTAGATTTCTGTCCGACTGGATCCTAACATGCTCTGACATTATGCAAACCTGTGTAAAACTAACCTCACGAGATCAAGGTGGCTGCAGTTTATGGAGCCTGGTGCAAAACTCCAGAGCATGATGGGAAATGCCAGGCTCTCCCCTGATCTAAGTTCTGATTGGTTTAGATACTGATGTTGACATTTTATAGAAACATTTCATTATTGTTCCTTTGGAGTGATTTAGATTTTATTATTCTGCTTTTGCACAATAACATTTTTTTTTTCTGTAAGCAGCAAATGTTGTGTCCCTGAGACGATGTGCCCGAGTGAAGCTACGCCTGAACACAACAGGCTCCAGAAACGATTAAAACAAAATACAGAAATTTTTATTAAAAGGTTTGGATCTAACAGGTTGTGAGAGTTTCTGTGACTTTGTGCACAGACTGTGAAGGCTGCTGGAAACAGTTTAATAAAACAACAACTTTGGAAGCATTTCAGTGTTGACACTGGCTGGAGATTTCCTTTAAGGAGGAGCTGATTATTATCTTGAGCTGCTACCGAGGGTCAGTTTACAACTAAGATGCAGAACAGTTTAGCTGTATCAAGTGAAATATAACACAGTAACATGCATACTGTACCTCCACTTTGGTTGAAGCGCTGCTTCAGTATGTGGATCTCAGTTTTGTAGCCAATGGACAGAATCTCTGAACATTCTTGACTGTACCACTTCAACTGCTGAGGATCATTGTGGAATAATTTTGTCACCCAGTCCTGTTTTGGTTCTATTGTGTTGCTGTCACAGTAACCTATCATGACATCATCAACCATTGCAACACCCACAAACTCCGGGACATCTGGGATTCCAGAAGATGCAGTGGTGAAATACTTCAGGGAGTGTTTTACTGTGGGATAAAGATTTATATGTTCAATATAAATATACACACATCATGGTTCAGTTAAAACATATAGTTCTGTATCTTGTCAAGCTGAGATAAAAGTGAAACTAAACATGACGCCACACAGCCTCTCTCCTTGCCATTTACCAAACAGAGCCTCCAAGACTGACAAAGTTAATGTGAGGCAGAAACCCCCTTTCAGTAATATAGTATTAGCTGTAATCTCCTTTTGCCAAGGAAAAAAACTCACATTTTACTGGGCATACTGGTACTTTGAAATACTTACACAGGTAAAATGTACTGGATGGTTTATGTCCTATAAAATATAGGGCATAAAGTTTCATTTCCCATAAATCTGCATCTTTTCCTGCTCTTTATACTTTCTCAGCTGTACATGGAAAAGATAAAGAATCAAGGGAGAGATACTGAGGGAAAATATTGAGTCCCAGAAAGCTGAATTCTACCAAGTCCTTTCTCACTTTATTTTTTGCTAACATGCTCACAATGACATACCAAGCTCACCACCTTCATGTTTACATGCAACCATGTGCTCTAAAACCTTGTACAACTAAAGCTGATGCAGTAGCCTTTACTTTATATTGTGGGGGAGTTCAGCCCATTATATTTGCACCTTAAACACATCAAGCACTGATTTTCACACAAACCAGAATTAATACTTATGACAGACAATAAAAAGCCTGTAAGCTACATGTACATGTGTTTTTGAACAGCTACAGCCACAGTAAGTAGCTGATGTTAATGCTATGAAGTTCCATTATCTGGCTCACACATGAACACAGAGATCACTACATCATATAAGATTAAATAGTTATAGACAGAGCCAGTATTATTAGCCATGCACCGTGGCAGCAGCCATAAACAACACTGATCAAGTGACCCACACAGTGTGAACACAAACTGTAATGATCACCACCATATTTATAATGTAACCTACATTTTATTGCAAACGGCAAAGTGAGATCTTCTGGCTCAAAGATTAGATTAGATTCAACTTTACTGTCATTACACATTTACAAGTACAAGGCAACAAAATACAGTTTATCTAACCAGAAGTGCAATAACAGCAGTGCAGAGTGCGCAGTATCTATGATCTGTACAAAGTACAAAGTTCAGTACATTAAAATGAAAATGTTAATTTGTCGAACCTACGTAAAATATACTGGCTTAATACACAATCAAAACACAAAATAAATAAACAACATAGTTTACCTTAAAGAGCCGGTTCAATGCTGACCTGTCGCAAAACCTAAGTAAAGGTCTGTGATTTGCACATGGCACAGTGCACATACAACACTGGCATTTTAGTGGATGTGGCTGCATTTGGAGTAGTTCAACATCAGAAACAATCAAAGAACTTGGACTCAAAGTCTACACAGGCTGCGTAAAGACACAAAGTACATTTTTGTTTTAAGATCAACCTTAAAATGTTGAACTCACCTGCCGTCGAGGTGTGTAGGCCTGTTCCCAGAAGAGCCAGAAAGATTAAAGTCTTCATGGTGGAAGGTACCATCTAAGTCTTTGATACACAATTAATTTCTTTGTGGAGACACAGAGACATTGCTTGTCTCCGGCTTCAGCTCCAAGTCTAAACTTAGAGAAAACAGGGAGGGGAGTCAACATCCTTGGTTTCACTGATGTTCCAGTGAATTAACGTGGTGAAGTGCACCCTCCAGTGTCTCAAACCTGCAGCTACTGTGCAGAAAGAAAGTTTCTCAGTGTTGACTGTGGAGACCAAAAACGATTCATAAGAAGTTTATTTTAAACAGATCTGTGGTCAGTTACACTATAATGAGATAAAGGGAATCATCATAATCCTTTTGAAAATATAGTATTTCATTTATGGTACGTGAAGTGACTGTTTCGTTTCATTACTTTAGTGTTGGGACAACTTAGACCTACTATCTGAACAAACAATATAGAAAAACGAGATAGTTTCCATGCCCACCTGTGGCAATGCTGCAGAAGAGACAGTGCGCACAGGGTCGTGGTAGCCTATAACGATGGTCTGAGGATTCTAGAGTATTGTAGTACCAGTAAAGTGTTTGTGGATGCTAATGTATCTACATGACTGGCGACACTGACTTGCGTAATTGGATGTTTAGATTTAGTGGCTCATCAAATGGCGTTATCTTGGCCTTGACTGTGCCAGATGACAGTAGTATGATGTTAACTCCCAGACTGTGGAGTTACTGCAAGCAAACCAATAGTTTGTCATTTAAACTTATTGTTTGTCTTTTTTATATCTACCATAATGTCCTGAATATTCTGAAATGAAATGAAAATGAAAAATGATCAGGCAGTGTGGTTTTCTGCTGTATGTCGAGGGGAAGATGTTGAGATGCAGCAGTGATATCTGCTGTTGTCCAGGTGCGAAACACAAATATTGGTCCCTCTGGCCCCGCCACTTTGATCATAGGCATATGATGGGCTGTGTGGGCAGGAGCGACAGATGTACCTGGGTCCTCACTGCTCTCATCTGGCCCATAAGAAACCCCACTGCAAGTACGTGACAGTGATGGCATGTGGACCTCTAGAGATGAGGTCTAAGCTGGTGGT